TATTATAAAAAACGGCCCGCGCCCGAACGGAACATCATTGCCCAACCGTGTTTTTTGCTCGTCTTTCTAGATCGTCGTCTCTCTCATTCTTTTCTCCTACTGTCTCTCTTCCTTTCTCTCTCTCTCTCTCTTCCCTCTCATCCCCCTCTCATTCGCGCTCATCCTCTCTCTTCTTCTCTCTCTCTCTTCTCCTCTCTCTCTCTCTCTCTCTGCTCTCTCTCTCTCTCTCTCTCTCTCTCTCTTTCCTTCTCGTCGTGTTCTGCTCTTCTCTCCTCTCCTACTCTCTCTCTCCTCTCCTCATACTCTCTCCTCTCTCTCGTCTCTCTCTCTCTCTCTCTCTCTCTCTCTCTCTCTCTCTCATCTCTCATTGGGCTCTTCTCCTCCTCGTCTCTCTCTTCTCTCTCTCTCTCTCTCTCTCTCTCATCTCTCTCTCTCTCTTTCTCTCTCTCTCTCTCTCTCTCTCTCTCTCTCTCTTTCACTACACACACATATTAAGTTTGGAATCCCAACCTTTGATTTTAGCCCCCCGCGCCCGACCCCACACGTGGGCGATTGATTCAGGAGTATATTCGTGTTTGAGGGGGACAATTCGATTACCAAGATCATTTGTTTTCCGTTCTGCGGCATGATCCAACGTACAAAGCTCCGATGGACAAGCGCTCTGCCTTCTCGGCTGTGGCCCATCACGACACTGGCTACCGGTGCTTGCATTCAAACCCACCGCAAGGTCCCGACGGCGCCGCGACCGGCGATGCCACGTCGCGACTTCTCTGCTTCGATAATCGTTTCTCTCTTAATTATAATGGTTTATAGTTAACTTTGCCGTAATTACATACTATCGTTGTCCGTTCGCGTCTGATAATCGTTTATCGTTGACTTGCGTGGCGGAGTTAGGGAATTCGTGCGCGGCGATCGTGGCCGATCGTTTACAGAACGTTCGTCCTGTGTTATCGTTTCTGCGTAATTGAAAGTTTTTAACTTTTTGAATGTTTTCACGCACTATCAATTGAAAGGAAAGCGTTCGACGAGGATGAAATTGCGGAGAATAAAAAATGCGCACGAGGAAAAAAGTGGGCCAAAAGTTTATTGCGCCGGAATTTTCGGTAATTTTTTTTTCTCCGAGATATAATGCGATATAAGCGGTCGTCGCGCCCGTTTCCCTCTCTGCAGGTGGAGCCAGGGTCTACGTGCGGGCCCAAACTGCGCCGGTGCCGATCGCCATATCTGCTGCGGGGCGGGGTTGGGGAGCGCGTCGCCGGGCCTGGCAAGTCATCATGGGTTGCAAGGCTGCGGGAAGCCGACACGCATCATAGGCAGTCGACGTAATTCGGACAAGTCGAACCGGGTCAGTCGGCATTTCATGTTATTTACATTTATTATATATTAATACTTATTCAGATTTATGATTATTGGTTTTATATATTTTATATCGGATTCATCGATAATTACACATATTATTAGCTCATCTGACGTAGTGAGATGGCAGCTTGTAGAATCGCATGATCATGCGTCCGTGATGACAGGAAATTCTATGCCCAGTCAAACGCGCCCCTGCTGTTGCCCGCGGCTCACGTCGTCTCTGCCATCGCCATCGTTCAACCAGTTGGGCCACGAAATCTTATCGACCCAGCTCGACGGAGTGCACTCACGGTCACCCGATTATTCGGGACGTGGGGTGGGGGGGTACTTGGAAAACGAGTTGGGCGATGCTTATCTCGAAGCGGCGGGGTCAAAGGTCAAGGCTCAAGCGTTCAGGTGTAACACGGCTTAGCAAGCCACCGCGCCCAGGGGAATATTTCCCCTACCTTAAGGTATAGGAGGAAATACGGAATTGCCGGCACAAACGTCTTAACGGCTCGACACCTATGCTCTTAAGTATTTGGTGCTAATAGTGTGATGCGGCAAAAAAACAATAAAAATAGGCCTAATGGACAGAGTCGAAAACTCTTTTTTGCTTTCAGCGCTGACTACCATTTTTATCACTTTATTGACAAGGACCATGGACAATGTGCTTTCACTGACGTGCAAAGTGTCTGATAACCTTTTGACCCTCAAGAAGAGGGTTAAACATGGATCTCCTGAACTGCCTCAATGACGTCCACATGTGTGTTGTCATATTCGCACTGGCACATCCATAATCGGAGAAACCCAATTGAAGCCTGGGTACGAACGCGTACAGCACAGTGTCATGGCTCAAAAGGTCCGTCTGGCTCGAATCCCATCTGATTTTTTAGTTTAGTTTTCCTGATTTCGTAATTTTTCTATGCTTATCCATATTATCTACTTTTTTTTCCCAATTAACGGCAAAATATTTTTTTTAATAGGGTTAGGCGTACACATTGCCACCATAAAACAGGAGTTTCGAGGCACGCGATTTGTATTAACCAATGAGATTGGGAGGTATGCACGCAATGCAGAAGGTTTGCTGGAATGATGTGACGCAACTGATATCTGATATCCTGCGCCTAACAAAGGGGCGCATGCTCACTACGCAACAAACTATAAATGTTACGGATTTATAACCGTAGCAACAGCCTCAGTCTTATATTTTTATGTCTATAGTATTTTGTACTTTTTAATGTACGTATGTGTACTATCAATGTGACCAGTGTGATAAAGTTATATCGCGTCGAAACTCTTGATCAATGATTTTTACTTTTCAATTATTATACTTTTAACGAAAAATTATTGGCCACTTTCTAATATATAGTACATCACACCTGTTTTTGTATTGTTCTTCAAGCTTGAAATCAATTTGTTTTTTTGTCGTTCTCTAGGTGAGATGCGTTTGTTTCTTGTCGTTCTCTGGCGATTATCGTTTTGTTTTTATTTGTCGTTCTCTCTAGCCTTTATTCGGTTTTCGTCTTTGTTTGATTTCTTGTTGATATGCGTTTTGTTGTATCTGTTTGTTCTTTAGCGATATCGTTTTGTGTAGCTCGTCTGACATAAGTCATGATGCAGCTTGTAGGCGCATCGCTGGGAATTCGCTCGCGCGAATGATCGTCCTCTGTGGATCCGTCCGTCCGTCTTTCCGTCGAGCGTCCGTTGCTCCGTCAACAGTTGGGCACAAATCTTAACCGCTCCGACGTACGGTCACGATATTCCGGACGTGGGGGGGGAATCAGAAACGAGTGGGATGTCAGAGCTGGGCCGGTCAAAGGTCAAAGCGTCAATGAGAGTGTAAAGACAGAAGGGTTGGAACATATCAATCCTTCAACTTAAGGTTATAGTGAGAAAATGGATATTGCGGCACAAGATCTAAACGGCTCGAGCTAGGCTCGTGATAGTCCGTGTATAGCATCCTGGTAGGAAAAGCCATCACTGGTGCTAAATTGGAGGCACAGGTCAAAGGTCAAATGGCACAGCGCAGATTTTAGACATTTTCTGAGGACCATGGATCTGACGGAGCGATTTGAAAACTTTTTAGTCATCTGACATAGTCAGATGAGCTATGTAGAATCGCTCTTTGATCGTCCGTCCCGGTCCGTGAGCTCCGGTCCGTCCGTCCCCGTGTCGTCGGATGGACGTCCGTGCGCACCACGTTGGCTGGAGTAGGCTGTGCTGTCAAGGCAACGTTGTTGCAACTCTAAATCTTAACGCTTTTCAGATAACTCTACGATCTTGGTACTCACGATAATTCGGCACATCAGTGGGGCACAGGGGATCGTCAAACGAGTTTTGGGGGGGAATGATCGAGCTGTCGGCGGTCAAGCGTCAAAGGTCAACGAGTGTAAAAGAAGGCGGGAACATTCACTCCTTAACTTAAGGGTATAGGAAGGATACATCGCATAATGCGGCAACAACATCTAAACGGCTCGACCTAGGCTCGTGATAGTCAGGTGCATAGATCATGGTAGGAAAAGCCATCATCTGCTGCCGAAATTGGAGGTCAAGGTCCAAAGCGTCAGTGGGACAGGGGGCCTAATTTTAGACATCTTCTTGAGGATCATGGTCGGACGGGAGCGATGAAAAACTTTCTTTGTCCCACCTTCATCGCGGTTTGACCTAGCCATTTTCGTATGGCTCTTATTGAGGCGACCATGAAACTGCTCCCCTTCTAGCTGACATGCCGCGAAGAGTAACCGCGTGCTTGTCAGTCAGTCTCCGCGCTCGGACCTCACTTTGACCCTCAAGAGGAGGGTGGGCTTAAACATGGATTCTGTTCCACTGTCAACATAAATCGACTGGAACGGTTTTGCTATTTCTAGAAGCCCGATACTGTGTCAATGTGAGGCTACAGTTGCGCAAGTATTGATAATGCAAAGGCAAATGTTCTGTTGAAACAAGAGTTTTACGCTCCTTAAATCATATGATCTTTCTAAAAGCAGTGTGTCTATCAGCGAGGCCTTGCTCATTTTAGGCCTTGCAGGTTATCTATAACATGAATCAACAGTGAGATGGACATGGCAAAAAACACAGGCAGCCCATGGCTGGCAGTGGCACGCTTCTTATCATAAAATTGTGGCCTGACCAACCTGCCAAGCATACACTGTTTCACTCACCAGCTGAAGCAACTTTGCCTGAATATAACTTTATCTTGGATTTTAGCCTGGTACCTAATTGACGATTTGAGGAACGATGCCATCTTTGATTATTAGATTACACTTGGCACGGCCAATCTCGTTGGCAAACATTATAGGCCTAGTTTACAGTTAGATTTTATTCTATGTAACTTTGTTAAACGAATAATAAATAAAACTAGTACCATATTATAATATTAATAGTTTACTTTTCATCTTGAAGGTATTAATCATATTCATGTAGAGCTATGGCGTGGACTATCCATTTAACAGTTTGTAACTGTCGAACATAAGACTTGTTTACCATAGAAATATTTGAGACACTCACTATATTATGATTTCTATGACTGTTACACTCAGGGCCCATAAGAGAAGAAAGCATTATTAAGGGGCAGTAAAACGATTCATGCTGGGTTTTAATTTTTTAATATAATTAAGAGAGAGAGAGAAGTAAAGATAAACGAGACGGAGAGAGAGGAGTAAATGAGGACCGGGGGACAGGAAAACGGTGTGATACGGCCTGAATTGTATCGCGAGCGGGAAACGGGGTTTGGTACAATTAGGGTCGCGGCGAGATGTGGTGTGCAAGGGCGATGGGAGGTGGGAGGCAGGAGGCGGAGGGGTACGAAGGCAGGGGGAGGAGATGGGAGGTAAGGGGGGAAGTGAGAGGTATCAGGCAGAGAGGAGTGAAAACGTCGTGGGATTGGCAGGGGGAGGGAGGTGGGACGCAGTGGGGGGGTGGGGGGGAGAGAAGGACTCCCTGCCCGCCATCTAATTAAAACTTGGAGATACCATGCACTCATTATGTTGAACACTCCTTTTATAGATAGATAAAAATGATAGCTGTGAATCTATCGGACACAAATCGAAAGTGAAAGGCAGAGTATCATTTAATAATAACACCAAAATCGCATGGCTGGGGGAGATAGATGAAGCGCTCGCTCCTAACAATGATGTGTACGGCATGCGCGTATCTGCATATCTGCGCCTAACAAAATGTGTCATACGCACACTGAAGTTTATAACCGTTAGCAACAGACCCCAGATGCAGCTCAGCCGCATCTGGCAGGTCTTGTTTGTGTTTCAGCGGTTGACCTTAGCACTTTTCTATGGCATTATTTGAAGGACCATGAAATCACTTTCTGCTGACATTGGCGAAGAGTAAGTGTCAGATAACCTTTTGACCCTCACCGAGGAGGGTTTAAAATGGATTTGTGACTGTACTGTGTATAGAAAGAATTGACCGCGGGTTCTGCTAGGTTGAGATCTATACATGCCTGGGATGTATGAGGCTACACACTGTCACATGTGCAAATTCAAAAGTAAAGGTTTGCGTTAAAGAAGCGTTTATGCTCATTAATCTTATAATTTCTATTGGCATCTTTGTCTGTCAGTACTGATGTTACATGCTCAACTATGCGCACTGCCAGTGTGCTACTGCCCCCAGTGCATGTGTATGGTCTGTGTAGTTTTGTGCCTGCGTTAAGGTGGTTAACAGGTTAGGCAGCTGTGTCTATTGCAGCCTGTAGTTGCGTATGGTAAATGGTATGAGTAGCTTACCTATTCTGTCTTGCAAATAGTTGTTGCTACTACGTACGATGGGAGCTTCCATCTTTAATCTGAAGACACTTAAACGTACGTGCCATCTCGTGGCAACTTTCATAACGATCCCAATGAACATTCATTTGAGAAGGTTCCTGATACCATCCCTGTGCATTCCACTGTTTTGGTGTGTATGTGAACACATTTAGGACTAACAGGGTTTACTAGAATCCCACCACTCCACCACAGAGTCACCGCAGTAGACGTTAGATGAGCGCTGTCGCTCCGCGGCACTTGTTTTTGTTTGTTCTCTAGCGATATCGTTGGTTTTTTGTCGTTCTCTAGCGATATCGTTTGTTTTTGTTTGTTCTCTAGCAAGATCTTTTCTTCTTTTTGTCGTTCTCTAGCGAGATCGTTTGGCGCGACGGATTGTGTGAACCCCAAGGACCACGGCGACACGCCGATACAAAAGGTGATCATGGAAATGACAAACGGCGGCTGCGACTACACGTTTGAAGCCATCGGCAACTCTGCAACGATGGTGAGTGTGCACGTATGCGTGTGTGCGCATGTGTGTGTGTGTGTGTGTATGTGTGCGTGTGTGCGTGCGCGTGTGCGTGCGTGCGTGCGTGCGTGTGTTTATGAGCTCAGCTCGGTCTGCGCGAAATGAAACGCTATAGTGCAGTGTTGTAGTGTGCAATGTGCTAAGATGCTAGGTGCCATGCATATATACCTGTGATTAAATATGTATGTTCTGTACAGGTGATCTACATATATATATATATATATGTTGTATGTGTTCTTATATGCAGTTTTTGTGTAGATTTGTCAGTTTTTGATTCGGTTTTTAAATCACGGTTTTGAAACTTTTAAATAACGTATTATAAAATATGAAAAAAAGTTATCTCGTGTAGTCACGACAATCCAATGTTTTTCTTTTGCAAATCTATACTACTACAAAAACGAACGCTGTCCTGTCTGTTTGCTATACGTTCCGCCGTTGATTGGTTTTGGATGCCCAAAATTGGAATACTGTTAGGTGATCACCAGTAGGGGTGCCTAATAAGCACATTTAAAAGGATCGATACACTAAAAACTATTATTTAAAAACAAGCAAAATACTAAAAGTACGAACGCTTCGAAATGGCGGTTGTTCTCGTAGCGAGCAATGCATTTTGGGATGGCTCGCAGCGCATTCTGCTATAGCGCGCGCTAATGACGTTGTCACGTCGTGTAGAGGAACTCAACGTGGACTGAGCAGTGCGTTACGCCGGAATGCTCGGCTGGCAGGTTTCCGTTTCAGGTTTGATGTTGAGAAAAAAATTCTTTCTTTTTTTCACGGGAGCTCTTTCTCAAAAGTCTGTGGGAAAAATAGCTCTCGTCAAAAATTTTACGGGAGCTATTTTGAGCATCACGGGAGCGATTTCGGAGGTTTGAATCGCGAATCGCTCCCGTGTAATATTTACCCTGATGTGAGGCGTTATATAGCTGGTGTTTCTCGATTGCCAGTGAGTCAGTTGTACATATGAGAGTGAAGCGGGGTTTCTTCTAAGGGGAAATTAGACAAAGGAGGTAATGGCCAGTTTTGGAGAGAGAAAAACGCGCATGATGGATTCAAAGGCAGTTGTATAATATAGGCAACGTGGCAATCTAAATATGCCAAAAACAAGTGGTGATCTATTTATTTTTTGGTTGACACTATTTTGACATCGGCGGGTTAATACTGGAACATTTTCACAACGGCGATGTTAAATTTGACAACGGCGGTGCGCCACAGTGCCTCTTATGTATAAGAAACCCTGTCAGAAGGTGAGGCAGTTTCTTTCATAACACTACATGTAATCCGTGGTGTTTGTCGCCATATTTTTGTGAATTTTTATACGTACATGTGAGAGTGAACGTGCAACAGTATTGTTGCAGCAGTGAAGAAGTTAATGTATACTGCATTAGAAGCAAGAAGAAGAAAGAAGTTAATATACTGTTATGTTATGTTATGTTCTCGTACTTGTCGGTGTCCACTACACTGGATATAATGACAAGGTAGTAAGTGCCTTCAGGGATAAACCCAATAAACAAACAGGTGCATAATGATGATGTGAGTGCAATGCAACTGGTGTCCTCTTAAAGTGGGTTCGCGTGCATGTGGGAGTGAAGCCTTGACTTAAAAATGTCAACGTCCGCTGCTTCCACAACACCCACGGGTAGGTTGTTCCAGATTGGAATCATTCGGGAAAAAAAGGAGAATTTGAATGCGTTGTTATTGCAGTGCAGGTGCCGAAATTTGTGGGTTTTTTTCGATCTGGTACCTGACATCCCCGGGATCAGATATCTATTCGGCGGTATTGCTATGAGGTTGTTTACAACCTTATACATGCATTAGAAGCAAGAAGAAGAAGAAAGAAGTGAATATACTGTATACTGCATTAGAAGCAAGAAGAAGAAAGAAGTTAATATACTGTATACTGCATTAGAAGCAAGAAGAAGAAAGAAGTTAATATACTGTATACTGCATTAGAAGAAAGAAGAAGAAAGAAGTTAATATACTGTATACTGCATTAGAAGAAAGAAGAAGAAAGAAGTTAATATACTGTAAACTGCATCAGAAGAAAGAAGAAGAAAGAAGTTAATATACTGCATACTGCATTAATATACTGCATACTGCATTACAAGCTAGAAGAACAAAGAACCAAGTCGTAAATTCTGTGTTTATACCCGGATCTGATATCGTGCTATATTGACGGGGTTAGTTTATTGACCTATGTATTTAGTTTAGTTCATTAATCTATGTTTCATTATTGTACAATATAAGTGAGAGTTTTTACCAGCATATTCAATTTGTGATTTCTATTGTGCACTCACTAGATGCTGCTGGTTGTTAGTCGAATTGTCAACTCTTCACATATACCAATTGGATACTCAATACTTAAAGGAACAGTAGCCTCTAGGATTTTACTGCATACAACTGTACTTACTGTATAACAAATCATCTATACCCACACGTATTTGTTACCAGATACCTAATTTCATTGTTATAATTACTTACACATCAATGCTACGAAATTTGAACAGCGCCATGACACCCGCGACCGTGCTGCCACCCCGAAAAAGTTGCGTATTTGACAATTTATTTTGCAGGTTACAGACCGAAGGCTAATCACAAAAGTGCAATTATATTTATACCTAAATGCTATTTAACCGAACGATGTTCATTTTAGGGCAAATTTATCCATATTATAACTGAAACTATATGGTTCGGTACTCGGTCTGTAGCCCTTGGCTGGAAAGTGGTTTTGCGCAACTTATCAGATCGTGCGCTTTGAGTGGTGCCACCGTCGTTGTAATCAAACTGTAGTCGTTAGTTTTAAAACATTTTTTAATAATATTTCTAATGGTGATTGAACCATGAAACTTTTTATGTAGCGTAATTATAACCTAAATTAGCTGAAAATAACCCTAGAACCTAGAGTAAACTCTCCCTTTAATGCGCAGTTATTTCAAATACTAATGAGAGTTTTCATGTATTATTTTGATGTAAAGCGAATCCCAATGACAAGGGAGACACGTGGCAGATGTCACCAATTGTGTATTTAAAGGGTGAGACGAGGCTTGCACAGCCAGAGAGGCAC